AAGACACATGAAAAATTATGAGAAAACAATGTATTTTGTTTAACAAAGAATTTATATCAGACCATATAAAGAGCAGAAATCTAGTAGAAAAATAGGTAAAGAAATGAGTAGTGAATTCACAGAATAAAGTACAAATAGCCAATAATATGTGAAGGTGTAAAACCTGACTGGTCATCAAGACGGTGATATTAAAATAAGACTTTGCACCTATCAGAGGAGCAAACATTTTTAAAGATTAATATTATAATAAGTTGGATGAAGAGAAATAGGTATTTTTTACATGGTGAATAGGAATATAGTCTGAGGCTTTTTTGGAAGCTTGGTTGCTTCTTTTCTGTTAAACGTTAAATATGCATACTCTTTGGCCTCGTAATTCCAGTTTTAGGGATTTCCCACGAAGAAATACTGGCATCTGTGCACAGGGTCGTGTGTAGGAGTGTGCTCATTGCAGCAGCTGGAGTTCGTAGTAACAAAATTTGTAAAGAATTTAAATTTCCATCAGTATGAGAGGAAGTAAAAAATTGAAAGGAAATGTCCACTGATGTGGAAAGATTTCGAAGGAGTGTTAAAAATATGAAAAGGCAGGTTGCAGAACAGCACTGCCATGTGGCACAGTATGCTTGTGCCAGGGGACAGAAGGGGCACCGGGGGTCACACACCAGACTTTTGCGCTAAAGACTTACACGTTGTTTGAACATGCTCATTTTTGCCTGTGTGTTTGAAAAGCTATTCTAAGACACAACTTAAAAATAACAGGCAGGTGCACCCTGTGAGGGAGGCACTTAAGCAGCCGTTCTCTCTGTCCTTTGGAGACAGATACTGTTTCCAAAAGGCGACGATGCTTCCTCCCAAGCCTGGTGCTGGGGCGCTTCTCACGCTGTGGTTTTGCGCCGGTTCATTTTCTGCTGCAGGCGGCCTGCGCGGGAGGGAACCTTTGCACGCTGACGGTGCCTCAGCTGCGCCTGCTCTCCAAGGTGCCCGTGTCTCCCAGCACCCCTGTGAGTCTCACCTGCTCTCCTGACCGACAGTGGGTGTCTGCGTCTACAGAGAATTCAGACCTGGGCCCAGAGGTCAGTGTCCGCCGAGCCCTGTCCCTAGGGGGTGTGAGGCAGCCCGGGCTGTGGGCTGCACGCCGGGAGCGGCTCCTCGCACAGCACCAAGCCCACGGCCAGGCAGGGGCAGGCCCGGGTCCAGAGTTGCTCACTGAGAGCCACATTCTGCTCCTCCTGGGCATCTGTTCCCAACAAAAGCTATTCTGGCACGGGCTACTGCTGAGTCGGTGGCAGTGCTGGCATTCGTCCTCAGGGCTCCTGCCCCCGGAGACTCTGCTCTTCCCAGGCTGCCGTTACTTGTGAGCTGGAAGGGGCCAGGGCCCTGCCCTCAGCTTTGAGCAGGTTTGGGGCCTTACGGACATCTTGGAGGAAACGTTCAGGAGCCATTTGAAGACCTGAGGACAGAGCTTCAGTGAGGGCGTGAGAGTGAAGGTCACCAGGTCAGGCACAGAGGAGCAGGAAGGCAGCGGGGCTTTGCAGCGCCTCCTGCGTCGCAGTCGTGTGAGTGGGCGCCCGGCCTGGTCCTCTGACACCGAGTCCTGGAGAGCGGACGATTCACAGGCACAGAGGCGGCCAGGCATTTGCAGGAGATGGGGACCCTTTTGAGGGCCAGGGCCTGAATTAGGAAATTAGAGCCAAGTAAAAAGCAGACCACTGGTGATGCAGAGAGAGAGAGAGTGTGTGTCACAGTGCAGGAATGGACCGGGAGCCCCAGGACCTGCTAGCCAGGCAGGCAGGTGGTCAGAGAAGAGCAGCTGGGTGCAGAGAGGCCACAGGAGGGGCCTCCAGGACCCTCCGAAAATGTGGTCCTAGGGTTCTAGAGGAGGCTTAAAGAGATAGGAAAGGAATGCACTGGAAGTCATTGGAGGCAACGGCAAAACATTAGCCACAATTGTTCAAAAACAGAAGCACCGTTTATTTGATTCATCCATCACAGTGCCAAGATGTTTCCAGAGGGGTCAGATGTGGGCTCGGATTACTCTTGAAAAGCCCTAGGTCTTGTGTGTAGTCTGGAAAAGAGGATTCAAAAGTGGCGCTGGCCACCCTGTAAGGCCCCATAGAACAGGTGTGGGCGCGCGGGCAGAGCCAGCTTCCCCGGCCAGGCCCCTAGGGTGGCAGAGATAGGCAGTGTTGCCGAGTGCTCCCGGGTCTGAGAAGCCCCCTTCCTCACCTGCGATGTGACCATGCACGGTATTTCCCCAGGTGTTCTACACTCAGTCCTTGCTGCACCCGTTGGAAGACAAGCCTCCTGTCTCCACTACCCTCCCCATCTGGCTGACTTCCAGAAGCTGCTGGGCCCCCGGAGAGGCAGCCAGGCTGATTGTAATGCACAAAAATGACAATGGCATGCAGCTGGTTGTCACAACCTATGAGTTGGGGGCCAAGAAGTCCAGGGATAGAGTGAACATTCTGGGTAAGGGTCCCCCTGCCGACACCGGCAGGTCTGCGTGTCACCACCATTGCAGTATGGTGATTCCAGCACAGGTTTCTTACGTTTCCTTGGGGACATTTTTTCTTTCGTCTTAGTGAAATATAATGGTATAGTGTCCCAACAAAGGTTTTCCTCTTTGTTATTCTACATATTGGTTGAGTGAGTGAGCACTTGCTAGGTGCCAGGCCCTCAGTGTGCCTCTGGGATTCAGACATTCAATACTGATCCCCTCCAGGCCTGGCGCGGTGGCTCATGCCTGTAATCCTAGCTCTCTGGGAGGCCGAGGCGGGTGGATTGTTTGAGCTCAGGAGTTCGAGACCAGCCTGAGCAAGAGCGAGACCCCGTCTCTACTAAAATTAGAAAGAAATTAATTGGACAACTAAAAATATATAGAAAAAATTAGCCAGGCATGGTGGCGCATGTCTATAGTCCCAGCTACTCAGGAGGATCGCTTGAGCCCAGGAGTTTGAGGTTGCTGTGAGCGAGGATGAGGCCACGGCACTCTAGCCCGGGCAACACAGTGAGACTCTCTCAAAAAAAAAAAAAAAATACTGATTCCCTCCAGTCTCTGCTCTTCTGCTGGTCTTCCTGCTTCCATTCATTCCTGCCTCTATTCTGACTACGTCAGGGGCTCTGTTCTCAGTACCAACCACGTACAAAGGTGAATAAAAGCCATAGCTATCTTATCCCCAAGGAGCTCCTAGTCCAGCAGGAAAGTAAGACCCACAGTCCTCTCCACTATATCTCCTTCTCTATTTCCCAAACCCCACATCACTCTGACAGGCCTTGCCGCTGGTCCTTAGCATTTTTTCTTTTGTATTATGTTTGTTTGTTTTCATATCATTATTTGACCATAAATTTTCCTCTGAGCTTCCTGGCAGCCAGGGGAAAAAAAGGGAAGACAGGATATATAATATAACCGCTTGTCTGATGTGAGAAAATGCATGAGATCTTCATGAGAGGTGTTTTTTTTTCCTGGTAAAAAAAGGAATGCTATGTAGTATAAAGGACAGTATCTTTAACAATAGTTTTTGACAGATGTCATAAATATCATAGTTCTCATGTGGCCATTTTTTATATCACCTTATCATGGATGAGAAAAGGTAGAAGGAAGGGAGCCCCGTTCCCTGAGTGATACGTGTCAAACACTGCATGAGCGTCTTGCATTGCATCTCTACAGCACCCTGTGAGTGTGGCATCACCGTCAGTGTTTCAGAGCTGAGGAACTGGAGATTCAGGGAAGTAAATGCACGGGTCAGGGCTGAATGCAGGTCTGACTGCGAAGCTGTTACTCTTTTCAATGAACCACATCATCTTATGAGAGGCATATATCTATTGCAGAGAAGCCAACCTGTGTGTTTTTATTCAAAAAGTACAACAGATCGCCAGTTTCCTCTTGCCAGACACCATGATGCCTCCTCACCTCATGAAGGGCCATGGCTCTCAGGTGATCCTGCTGGTCTCAGAGGCAAAGCTGGTGCTGTTCACCATTCACGGCCTGCAGCTGGCAGCCTTCCAGGACCACCAGAGGCCCATCACGTCCATGTGGGTGGTGAGTTCGTCCATGTGGGTGGTGAGTAGATGCCCGCTGCCCATGCCACAGCTCTCTGCCTTAAGGAGTCCACATCCACACCTCATTTGACTTTTCATTTCAAGGATCCGAGCCGAGTCATCACCTCTTCCTTTGACCTCTCTTTGCGAATCTACGTGTGGAATAAAGAAAATAAATTTCCCATCCTCAAGAGCTGCTATCACTTGCTTGGGGGATCCCACAGATGGGCCAGGTAATTGGCTCTGTTTCCCTTCACGTTGCCTGTAAAATGGCCGTATGTGGCCTACCAACCAGTGTTTCTTAAGGAAATGTTGGAAAGGGTCTTAACAGGACTTGGAGCTATAAGCGCAGCCTGCCCCTTATTAACTGGGACCTGAGACAAGCCAGAGCTCAGATTCCATTTCCTCTCGTGTTGAGAAACCAGATTGCTAGCTTTAGCTATGCATTATAGACATTATCTCCCATAATGTGCAAACCCACCACATGCAGTGGGCATCACGCACATTTAACAGATGAAACAGAGGCTCAGAAATATGGACATTTTGCCCAAAGTCCCAGGTAATACACAAGAAAGCCTGGGTTGGAACCTGACTCTGACCTCATGGAAAATGGCTACGCCCGTTAGCTCTTGTGTTTATATGTCTCTCCTTCAAGAGAGCAATGAGACTGATCAGCAATTGAAGGTAAATTCTAATTTCTGAGGAAATGTCTCAGGCTTGCCCAGGTTAGGTTGGGTGTCCCTTCTCCTCTATTAGAAGTTTCTTTTTTCTCTTCCTTTTTTTTTTTTTTTTTAAATCCATCAAGGCTTTTATAAAGGAGAAGTTTCTAGACAAGCTGGAATCATTATGACTCAGGCAGCTGCTGTCAGGAGGGCCCAGAATTGATATTCCCACTTAAGAAAGTGATAATATTTGCCAGTTATTACAAATGAATTTAGGTTCTCAAATCAAAGCGCAGAGTAAACAAGAGGTGGAAATAGGGCCGGCTGGGTGGGAGAAGGCACAGGAGGCTGAGCTCCATCTGCACGTAAAGGCTTTTACTGCTGAAATGTGTGTCCTTTTCCCTGACTGACACCCAGTGTGCCCCTTCTCTGCAGTGGATTTACCCACGTGGAAAGTGACAGCGTGAGCATTGTAGGTGTGGAAGCCAGAAGCGCTGGAACTGGCATCCTGAGGTCGTACTGCTTCAGAGCGCAGCACAGCTGGAATGACGGCCCCGACTGGAGATGGTCGCACTTTGGTGAGGAGCTTGCACACGTGCAAAGACCGGATTGATTATGTTATCGACGCTGGGACAGGAATTAGTAATTCTCAGATGCCCACTATGTGCCAGACACTGTGCTGTGTGACTTGACTTCTACATCCTCACAACAAGCCAACGAAGTAGGTATTATTGTCCCCGTTTTTCAGACAAAGAAAATGAAACGCAGGAGAGTAACTAACCCATTATTAACCCCATTTTTGAGCTGCTGAGTAACCTGCCCAAGATTATTGGGGCAGTAAGTGACCAAAAGGAGTTAAATACATGTGTGAGGGACCAGGAAGCCCAAGCTTAAAGTACTGGGATTATAAAACAATTGTTTTTGTTGTCTAAATATGTAATTAAGTAAATATTTTTTATCTTCCTATTCTGCATTCTATACTTTAGACACACACTGACATATAGTTCTTGCTGTCACATAGATAGGTTGTGTGGCACCGTGCTGCGTAACTCCAAGGCTGCCATTTTTTGTTTTGTGACAGTGGCGCCCCCTGGTGTTGGTCACCATAGAATCCCTGGCGGGGTGGTGGCGTATCATTCAGAGTTCCTAATTGCAGGCATCAGGAGCTGACACTGACTAACCGAGACCAAGAAAGGAATTTATTGGAAGGACATGGATTAGCCCACGGAATCAGTGGGAAGGCTGGGAAAACAAGGTGGAACCACCAGACAGGCAGCATGAGCCCAGCATGGCCTGCTCCAGAAGGTCTGGCTTGGATGGTCCTGGTGCTGCCAGGTCATCACCACCATTTCTCTGAGGCTCTGCTGTTTGCTGTTGCTGTACTGCCATCAGTGTCACCCAACAGGCACTGCAGCCCCATCTGAAACACTTCCCAGCTGCTCCTGAGGGAGGCAGCGAGATTGAGAGTGCCATGTGTGTACGTGTGTGGTGCGTGTGCACGTGTGTGCATTTTTGTGTGTGTGCATGTGTGATTTGTTATCTAGGTCACATGCTCCCATCACCAAGGCCAGGGTGGGAGAGAGGGAGGGTCTGGCCCCTTCATCTTCAGTAGGAAGTACCCCAACCCAGACTGATGTGGTGGAAAATTCTTGAAAAATAGGAAGAAAGAATTTCTCAAAAATAGAAAATAAGGATAAAAAGCTGTTTACTATAGTCTACTATGGGTACTCAATACCAGTATATGCCCTATTTCTTATATTTGCTCTTTAACAACAGTTTTTTACCTAACCTAGCAACTATAGCCAATGTAGCCAAGACCACATGTAGTCATTGCCCCAGAGTCTTCATTAGCTCTTGAAACTGTCAGGGGCAGGGTCCATTCCTTTTCTACTTCCATCAGTTTTGCATGTTCTGAAACTCATGGCCTAAGTGGTCAGCATAACCAGGATGAAGGCATCCCATAGGGAGTAGTAGGGGAGTGGAAGGAGACAAAAGAGAAATTAGCTGACATAAATACACAGAAAATGAAGGGAAAATTTGGATAAGTTGAGAATACAGAGGTTTTGCTGAAGATAGTGGAAGGAGTTGAGGTATTGGCAAGAGATTGGGGATCAGATTAGGGGAGTGTTGAGTTTCCAGGTCCTCCTGAGAGACAAGGGCCCATCCAGCTCTCACGAGTTCTTAGGGAAAGATAATAATCAGGCCCAGTCCCACCCTCCTTGGAAAAACTTGTGGGTTGGCTCTGACATCAAGGGTGGTGTCATGTCTGGGTTTGGTGGCTCTACTGAAGAACATGTGCAGCTTTAGAGGTCCCTGCTTGGGGGTGTATGGCAGCTTGATAAGGGAGGTCTTAACAGGAACACAGGAAGCTCTGTGACCGCTTGTAAATTTTGCTGAAGGTGTGTGCTGAGTCTGGCAGACAGGATATCACCAGGACAACATGGGCTTCTGAAGTATGGTGCCCTGGCCCCAGGAAGAAACACTTGGAAAGTCTGCTGTGCTTTCAAGTCAAATCCAAGTGCTGGAGGCTGCTCTATGGCATTCAGTGGGCACTGCTGCAACCGGGGGAGTGTGAGGACCTCAGCGGGACTGCAGGAGCTGCACAGAAGCCTGCAGATCTCTGTGAGCCTTTCTCACATTCTTCCATTAACTCAAGTTAGAAACAAGGAAAGGGTGAAAATGATCACCACCATAATTAAGTATTGCCCTGGAGGCGCTAATACATGTAGTACTTTTTTTTTTTTTTTTTTAACACAATTGAGTTTCAAAAAGATGAGAAAGGAGGAGGTATATTTACCATAATTTCCAAACAGTACTATCTCTTTTAGAAACCTAAGGAAATCAGAATTGGTAAGCAAAATCAGCATAATTAGTGGATAGGTTTTCTACATATTAAAGTCAGTGTACCAACAATTAGAAACTATGGAGAAAGAAAGTCCTCCTTTGACAATAAAAGCAGAAACTATATCTAGGAATAATCTTTTTTTAAAAAAAAAAACAACTTGATAGCAAACTTCCTTTTCTAAAGGAATAAAGAATAAAGGGATATTCTATGTTCATGGATAGAATAGTTACTATTTTAAAGAGGTTATAAGTTGAAAGCAATGCCAATAAAATTGCTAGTCCTTTAAATGGAATGTGGAAAATTGATTCTAAAATGTATATGGAGCGATCGAGATACAAGAATAACCTTAACAGTCTTGCAGAAACTGCCTTGTGAGTTATCAAGACAAGATTAAATGTTAGTCATTGGAACAAAGTGGTGTTGTTACATGAATAGACAAACAGAATAGAGGAGCAAGAAATGAAGCCACGTATATCTGGAAATTGGATACACCGTAGATGACATTTCAAATCGGGGAAACTAATGCTTCAGTAAGTGGTGTTGGAAGTATTAGCTGTCCGAATGGAATCAAATCATATTCCTTTATTATACCATGCACAAAAATGTCATCTGTGTATAGGATCTAAACAAAAAAAAATTAAACTTTAGAGTTATAGGAAAAACATAAGAATGGGGAGGCCTTTAAAGCAGGCTTAAGTAACAAAGCAAAATCTGTAAGAAAATAATTAGTTTGTATCAAAATCTAAATCTTTTGTACACTGTAAAGGACACTGTAAGCACAGTTAAAAGACATGTTGACACAGTCCCCAAATGAGCTAACAGGCAAGAGTATTAGGGAAACAAAGAAGTCCCCTTGTTTGCAGCACCCCTCATCCAAACTGGTAATTTGGACAGTTTGGGTTGTTTGCTTGGTGGGCAAAGTAATTAGCAAAGTTCAAGTGCTAATTGACATTCTCATTCAAACATAGTAGAGCAATGTGTTATATCTTCTCTCTTGAAGGGAAAGAGAAATGAAGAGCCATAAGCACAATGTCCACAGTTGTGCAAAATCGGGATGCAAGTGTGGTCCTGATTCCCAGAGTATATCACCCCTCACATGTGCCAGCCCTTAGTTTGAAGACCGGTTCCCCTCATCCCATTGTAAGGTTGGCCAGTGACTGTCTCTACACCAGCCTTGTTAGTAATTACAGACAGGCAAATGTGATTCTCCAACATTAAAAAATATGAACAGCAAGAAATGAAAGACCAATATAATCAAACCGATGGTCCCCTTAGAGGAATGAGCCACCAGGTCCCTTCCTCTTTCTGGCCCTGCATCCATCTCTCTTCAAGGAAGGGTCAGAATCCACAGTCCCGATGGTCTTGCCTTCAAACAATGTTTTCAAAATTCTAATTAGGTGCTCACTTCATCAGCACATATACTAAAATTGGAATGGTACAGAGAAGATTAGCATGGCCCCTGCACAAGGATGACATGCAAATTTGTGAAATGTTCTGTATTTAATAAAATCTAATTAGGATCCTCAGAGAGGTGTAAGATATGCATAGAATATAATCTGTAAAGGAAGGAATATTCAAAGATCAGGAAAGAGAGCTTGGAATTCTCTTGAAATATAATTGTCAAAATATAACTGTCAAAGAATTAGAAGAAAGAATTTAAGAAATATCCTAAAAAGCACATATAATAAAAAAGAAAATATAAGAAAAAGTAAGCTCTTTGGGAGATTGGTCCCAAAGTTCCAACATCCAAATAATACTTGTGCACTAAAGAGAAAACTGAACACCTGGAGGAAGAAACTTATCGAAGGCAGTATCAAAGACGTTATCAAAGAATATTACATAAAATGTCCAGAGCTTAAAGGAGAACATTTTCTTTAAAATGAAAGGATTAATAGCAAGGTGAATTAAAAAGACCCAGCCTAGGACCATCATGTGAAATTTCAGAAACCAGCACCAAAAGAACCTGAAAGCTCCAAGAAAGGAAAAATAGGTTATCTGCAAATGAATAAATATCAGAATGACTTCTGACTTAACAACACTGAATGCTACCAAAAAATGATATAATGTCTTCAAATTTCTGAGGGGTAAAAAAGTATTTTCAACTCAGAATTCTGTCCCTGCCAAATTGTTAATCAAATGTGAAAGCATATTACAGACTTTTTAAAATTTATATAAGCTTATGAGGTAAAGTGCAATTTTGTTACATGTGTAGTGATCAAGTTAGGGCTTTTAGGGTATCCATCACCCAAATAATGTGCATTGTACCCACCCATTCAGTAATTTCTCATCACTTACCACTTCCCACCTCCTCAGCCTTCCCAGTCTTACATGGTCTATCATTCCACTCCCTGTGTCCATGTGTACACCTTTTTTAGCATCCACTTACTACTGAGAACATGTGATATTTGTCTTTCTGTGTCTGGCTTGTTTCCCTTAAGATAATGACCTCCAGTGCCATCTGTGTTGCTCCAAATGACATGATTTCATTTTTTATGGCTGGATAGTATTCTATTGTGTATATATACCACATTTTCTTTATCCAGTCATTCATTGATAGACACTTAGGTTGATTCCTTACCTCTGTTACTGTGATTAGTGCTATTATAAATATACAAGTGTGTCTATCTTCTTGATAAGTGGATTTCCTTTCCTTTCGGTAGATACCCCATAGTGGGATTGCTGGATTGAATTGTAGTTCTATTTTTAGTTGTTTGAGAAATATCTATACTATTTTCCATAGATTTTTACTAAATTACATTCCCACCAACAGTATATAAGCATTCCCTTTTCTCTGCATCCTCACCAACGTCTGTTATTTTTTATCTTTTCAATAACAGCCATTATGACTAGAGTAAGTATGCATTACTGTGGTCTTAATTTGCATTGCTCTGATGACTAGTGATGTTGAGCATTTTTTCATATATCCATTGGCCATTTGTATGTCTTTTTTTGAAAAATGTCTATAAATGTCCTTTGCCCACTTTTTAATGAGATTATTTGGGGGGCTTTTGGTTGAGATGTTTGAGTTCCT